GGGTTCCGCCCTCCAGTGGGTCTGTGTCCTGAGCCTACAGCACACAGCTCAGAGCCAACCCCCTGGTGGTTTATACGAGGATGAGCCAACCCCCTCACTGGCACAGGTTCCTCTACAGAACCATAGAATCCTTTAAACAGAGGGTGTCAGAGGGGGACGCTGTTGCTTCTTGACATCCCCCCGTCTAGGTCTACACCCTTCTGAAGACAGCGTTGCCCTTTCTCTAACTCCTCCCTGGATAGCTCTGCCCTCTTCAATTTACTCCAGGCCAAAGGTCTCAAATCCCATTCCTTTTTGGTGTTCAGAACAGGGCTGTAGGGTAGGTGGGGTCATGTTCACCACTGAAATGCTTAGAGGATAATTCTCACAGAATGAGCACATGCATTGCTGTGATGGGGAAAAACGGCAGCTTCTCAGCATAATGTCGCTGGCCTTTTCTCCCCAGGGCAGTTTTCAGTTGTCTAAAAATTCTTCAAACTACATCGATTATCCTATGCCCATTGAGAAAATCCATTAAGATCATCCCGTGGAGTACCAAACACAAAACAAACAACAACAAGATCCACGCGCCTTAACCTTCTTAGCTGACCTCTCTTCTTAAATTGAACTGGCCCAGATCATTTTGATCCCCTCGAAAGCCACTCTTTTGATGGGATGTTTATTTATTTTTGAGAACACCGTAGCAAGACTGAAGACAAGTGTATTATTGAGGAAACGTGTCTGCAGCCAGGCACTGGTAACAGAGACATATATAAAAATGTTTGTGTTTTGTTTGTTTTTTCTAATAAACCTGTGCACGTATGAACTGGATCTCCCCCCGCCCACCAGTAACAATACTTTTTGACTCCCCCTTGTCTGAAGTGAAGGATTGTATTTTGAGAATATAATAATTTGCATGAATATAGCAAACCTCAGGAAGCTGGTACGTCAATTGAAAGTTTGTCAAGTACTGCCCTAGAAGGTGCTAGTTGGCCAAATTCTTTTTGTGTATCTTTATTCCCTTCCCCCCCACCTCAAAAATCTCAGAATGAAGGTGCATGGAGAATAAATTGCTTGCAGGAAAATAGTTGTGAAGGTTTTAACAATGACTAATAACTTTCAGAGAGTTCGGCTCTCTGGGGCCCAGTGTGGAGAAGTGCTGATCTTCTCTGCGGAGCTGGGCCTCGGAGCCATGCCCCTCCACCACGACCACCCCCTGCGGAGAGCAAGCTCCTCCGAAATGTGTATGTGCAGTGGGTATAAACACCAGTACACGTTCTACACCAACGCGCTTGCACATGCCCACTATGTCGTGTGTGTGTGTGTGTGTGTGTGTGTGTGTGTGTGTAAAATGGTAACAAAATAATGTGCTGCGGTTAGCCCCGTTACTTATATTAAATAATGACACGATAACATTGGTGGCCCGTAATTCTCCATTTTCTGCTTAACCACCCTGTCCAAGTAAACTGTTTTCTGATCTTTCTTAGATGGAAATCCTGTATGAATGTGGAAGCCATTAGCCGAGTAATTGCTGTCTGTTACCATGACAACCAGCCGCTGCAGTCACCTGCCTGAAGTCCTGCCAGACTGCACCAGCCCTGCCGTGCCTGTGGTGAAGACTGTGGAGGATTGTGGCAGCCTGGCGAATGGGCAGCCACAGTATGTCATGCAAGTTTCGGCCAAGGACGGGCAGTTGCTGTCCACAGTCGTGCGGACTCTTGCCACCCAGAGGTAGCGCCCCCATTAAACTAAATGAATCTCCCGAGAACTGTCTGTCAGGTGGAAACTGCTGAAGGGCGGGTAGTTAGAGCTCGGGTCTTCCAGTCAGATGAGATGAGGTAAGAAAGCAAAGACGAGGGGGGGAAAGGACTGCACAGTTCTGTCATCTCCGTTTCTATAGCAATGGGCTATAAAGCTCAAATTCCTGTTGTCTGGTCTCCTGCTTAAAGTCACACTTGCAGAGAGCCAGGCGGGAAGGAGCCCACCAGTCGTGAGGGTGCTGGCATTACGTTGCTTAACCTGTCAGGGCTGGAGTAATTACGCGCTTGTCCTCTCCGTTGCTAACAGAGGGCTACCTTTGGTAGCACAGAATGCAGATGACCCCTGAGTTCTGGTGACTGAGCCACAGTGATTCTCATCTCTTATCCAAACTTTTGATGTGGCATTCCTGGTCTGCCTGATTACCAGCGGCTGCCTGCTCGGTGCTCCCGCCTCTTCCCTGGCACCCCCCCACCTGGGGTGTCCTCTCCGGCCACCATTCATCACCTCCCTCGCCCCATGAATTGCTGTTGCCCACAGTGCTTCAGCCCTGGGTGATGAGCCACAGCAAAGGTGCCGGCTCTGAATCGCAGGAAGACAGCTTATCTGGGCTGGGACGTTGTCACCACAGGGCGGGGGCTCTTCCCGTGCTGTTATTGCCCAGAGGCAGGTGGAGGGCCAAGACTTCCTGCCACAGGTGCCTCCTTGGCTTCTCCAGACTTCCTCCCAATGGGCAAGGGCAATTTCAAAAACGAATGTGAAGTATGCGTCACCCCCACACGCGTCCCCTAGCATTTGACCCTGAAGCCCTGAGAGTTGGACCCGTCTGAGCGAGTTGGCCCTGCCCTCTGGGGCAGCGGCAGCCCCACAGATTTGAGGCAGGTCCTGCCACAGGTCTGCATTTCTCACTGTCCCCCAGCCGAGCTGGACAAGACATTGGCCCGCCGACACGCAATCACACACCACACACGTTGTAGCTGCCACCCTTTCACCTTCGGCTTTAAATCTGAGCGGCGGTGGCAAAGAAAAGAAACAGAAGAAAAGGCAATGAAGTTGTATTTTCCCCTTCTCAGAGAACTTCTAGGCATTGGGGAGGACGTCGACGGTGCTGACTGCGTGCACACCGTTGTGCCTCAGACCTGTCCTCCTGTATCAGCAAGTACAGGGTATCCTTGGCATGCATCCATGGGCACCCTGCATGTTTGTCCCTGCTGGTTTCACACTGTTCTTCACGCAGAGGTTTCCCATGAATGGAGCCGCCTAGGAGCAAGGAGGGGGCAGCCCCGGTTCTGGAAGCCTTCTTTCCCTGCCCCTGAGCACGAGTAGGGCCGTGAGCAGGATGGGAATGAGGAGCGGCCATCCTTTCCTCTCGTGACCCCTTGGTGCCTTACTCATTCCCAGGACCACTCCCCCAAATGCCTTTGGGGTGCATTGGCCGAAAGGTCACAGTGAAGGGAACGATGGCACGGACTGGGCTCACTCTCACCTTTGGGGCGCAGGAGGGTAAGAAGCTGGTTCTAGGGTTGGCAGGTGCAGTGGTAACCAATTTTAGAATCTACTTTCAAGTGAAGACTATCGTGCAGGGAGCTAATGATCAGAGAGGGATGAGTTCCCATGGGACATAGTACCTCTTCAGACGTGAGGTCAGTTCTTCCATTTGATTTCACAGCAGTGCCCTTGACTTGTGTCATGGAGGCCATGTGATTTGATTTTCCTGGGTCTGAGTTCTCCCACGAGGAGAACTAGCTAGCATTAGCCAGGCATGTACTATGTGCTACTCCCTGAGGTGCCTTGGAAGAAAGGCCTGGTGATCTATTTCTGAAAACCACGCCGCTGAAAGCCCTGTGGAAGACAGTTCTATCACAACGCACATGGGGTCCCCATGGTTAGAATCAAATGACAGCGACCAGTTCTACTTCAGATTCTAAACTTTCAGTGTGGAGGATTTCTCCTCCTCTGTTCCCATTTAAGAGGTGGGGTAACTGCAGGGCAGAGAGATGCATTTGCCACTCCAAAGCTAATGCAGCTAGTAAGCTTAGCTGAGGTTCAAGCCCAGACAGCTAGACCCCAGAACCTGCACCCTGCTCCATGATGCTGTGCTGCCTTCCCCAAATTAACAGCACTAGTAGGGACCGAGCCCACCTCAGCAGGGCATACTCGCTGTTCAGTCTCTTTGGCATCCCTGAGAGCACCCTGGGAATGCGCTAAAGACCCGGCTCTGACTCCCCTTCTCCCTAAGCAGCAGTTCAGTGACATCTTTCTTCTTATACTGAGAAGCAGCAAACCTGAGATCTAGGGGACTTTAATGCAGGTGTCTGTTCTGAGCAGCTTCCACCAGGAGGGTCCACAGGGCACAAAGCTTGAGGTGCCACTTCTGGGTGGCTTCCTGGCCCATTGACAGTGCCCCTCCTTTCTTGCAGCCCCTTCAATGACCGGCCGATGTGCAGGATCTGCCATGAGGGCAGCAGCCAAGAGGACCTGCTCTCTCCGTGTGAATGTACCGGGACCTTGGGGACGATTCACCGGAGCTGCCTGGAGCACTGGCTGTCGTCCTCAAACACCAGCTACTGTGAACTCTGCCACTTCAGGTTTGCAGTGGAGCGCAAACCCAGGCCCTTAGTGGAGGTCAGTAAGTGGGGCACGTCCTGAAAACTTAACTCTAATGAGCAAATGATGTCTGCTTTTACGGTCAGATCACACACCCTGTGCGGCTTCACTGAAGCACGGTAATAGCTCTGTATGAGTAAGAGACGGGCAGGGCGAGAGCGAGTGGATGTGTATGTGTGTGTGAGAGAGAAAACTCTCAGGAGCTGACCCTAGCAAGGTGACCTCCATGGTGGTGGGAATCAGTGTGTGTGTGTGTGTGTGTGTGTGTGTGTGTGTGTGTGTGTGTGTGTGTGTGTGTGTGTGTGTGTGTGTGTGTAGGAGGAGGACAGGGGGAGCTTAGAGACACGTTTGCCCTAGAAGTGGAGACAACAGATCAAAACGCTTTTCTCTTTGGCCACCATATGCCCTAAGGAAGTTACAGATAAAGGGACAGTAGGCTTACATATTGTGAGAGATTGTCACAGACAACCACAAGTGCATGGTGTAAGGGATGCAGGCCCAGACTTCTGGCTCCACTACTTTCAGCTCGGTGGCCTTGAGTAAGTTACTTCACCTGTTGGAATTATTAGGAGAAAGAAGTGAATCAATGCATTTATAAAGTACTTAGGAGCACATAGGGCCCCTGATAGCATAGTGGTTACTTGTTGGGCTGCTGACCGCCAAGTCCGCAGTTTGAAACCACCAGTCTCTCCTTGTGAGAAAGAGGAGGCTCTCTACTTCCACAAACACTTACCTCCTCGGAAGCGCACAGGGCGTCTCCTCTGTCCTGGAGGTGCCCCGTGGGGTCAGTGTGAAGACAATCGACTCATGGCAGTGAGTCTGCTGGTGGTGGTTTTTGGTTTCAGAGAGCATCAGACACAAGTGTTTGCAAGCGTTCACTTTAAAATCAAGACTCTTCTGAGAAACTTTATTTAAAACTAACAGCCTTCTGTTGGAATTGCATTTCTTAAAAGGTAGTGCTGTCAAACCAGCCTTTAGAATCGCAGCGCATTCTCCTCCTGTGTGTTAGAAAACACGTGAACTGTAAAGCCCGGGTCCGATCCTTATTCAGTGTAGCTTCAGAAAGTTCATGGGGAAATTGAATGAAAAGATAGAGCAATTTTTCCACCACTCTTTTAAGAAGCAGTTTTATTGGCACATACTACACATACCATATAGCCCAATACTTTGATCATTTCAAGTTGTACAATCATTACTGCAGTCAATTTTATAACATTTTCTTTTTTCTGGTACTCATTGTTATTAACTCCCCATCCCTCCCAACCTCCCCTGCCATATCCCCAAGAAACCATTAATCCATTTACTCTCTCTGTAGAGTTGCCTATAGATGTCATATTCAGAAAAACCTAACAATAACAAACTAAAATAGAGAAAAACATCAAACAAAATATTAAAAACTAGAACAACTTTAAGATAGGTCAAACGATACGATGTTAAATTGCAACTGAACTGTAGCTGTCCTAATCCACTTTCCAATGCGTTGTACGTGGTAGCACAGCTGTCCCAATCCCTGGTCCATGGTCAGAGGGGACACACTGGAGGCTTAGTCCACGTATGTTTATATATATTTTTAACTGAAACAACTTGTAAGTGGGTCAAAAGGGAGATCAAATAAGGTATGACATTTTAACTGTATCTAGCACAGTCATCTCTACAATGCTCTCGGTCTGATAACAAGGCTCTTCGCATCCCTCCAGTGGTCAGTGGGCATTCACTGGCTCCACCAACTTTTTGAATCTCCCTCATATTAACCAGAGGAATTCAAAAATACCATTATAGTATTTCTATATTCACCTACAATATTTTGTAGTCAATTGAAAATTGAATACTGGCAACCAATAAATATTCTAATGTATTATAGGTAGAGCTGCCTAAAAGGGACCAAGACATTTGACTTACTAACCATGCCTGCTCACACCTTTTCCCTGAGTTAACAGCTCACCTGTTGTGGAACTCTGAATGTAAAACTAAAACTGGGAACCTTTTTGGAGACTTTCCATTTAAGCAGTGTGTTAGCACCTAAACACTTGTTATAGCTCATCAGAGCCCTGTGTGTACAGTCTCTTGGTTTTGACCTTGAAAACGTAATACGGACCTACAACAGGGACCTGTGTTAGCTATTGACCGACTTGCCAAAAGGCATACAATTTATTTGTCTTGGCCCCACAGGCTGAGCTTTTCTTAAGGCCATGGATCAAGTGCTTTCTTAATTCAGCCTTCTTGCCGCTTGACATCCACTTCCAGAAATTCATATTTGTAGAGTGCCCCTCAGGGCTCTGGCCCTCTGCCAGACTGGTTGGGATTTTACATTTCAGACCTTCTCTGCAGAAGGGGACATCTACTGATTAAGATGAAATCATAAACAAAGGAGATGAAGATTTCTCACACCCAGAGGCAGAAGTAAAAAGAAGCCAGTTTCTCGGTTCCAGAAACTGGCAGAGCCTCCCAGCGTTGATACTGCAGCTTCCCCATCCCAAGGAGCTGCTCTCCAGGGTAAGGAAACTCAGATTGCAAGTGGCCTCCACCCTGCAGCCTACGTTGACAGCGTCTCCCCAGTAAAGAGGGATTTACACTTCTACTTAGTCAAGAGTCCAGTGTGGGAGTGGGGTGGTGGTGGTGGTGTTATCTTTGTTTTCCTCAAAGAATACACATGCATTGATCAACCAGTTAAGCCCTTCCCATCCACCGAGAGAGAGACCTGTCTTCCCACACAGCGGTTTCTTGAGTGGGCCTGCGCCAGGCCACAGACAGACTCTGGACTCCTACGCAGCGGTCATTAATGAGGGAACACGACAAATGACCTTGAGAACGTGTGAGGTGCTCCACAAGGTTTAGGGCCTCGCTTACAAAAACTTCACCCAAACAGCCACTGGTGGTGAAACGTTCGTTGCACAAATGGAATGTGACATTTTTCGGAGTTAATGATGATTGAACAAGTTGAAAGTGAAAGGCAGGCCTTCTCAAGCTGAGGGGGCGGGCCGTTTGATCATCCCATGGCAAAATGAACTTGCAGCTTGACCACAAGCAATAAAAAGAAGCTCTCTTTGGTTTCTCAGCTGGAGGACAAATGAGAACCAGGTGCAGGCTGGTTTTAAAACGAACGACAGCTTACTAATGGAAGCCCCTCCACCTTACCAAAGGGCAGTTCATAGTAAGCATCGTTTCTCGTTAGTTTAGCCCGAGATAATTGTGGGTCTTTTTCCTAATAACTCATCATGTTTCGTGTAAGCATCAGGAGCACTGTTACTTTATGGCCCGTTTTTCCTCTTTTAATTGCTTTAGTAATTCCCTTATTTACCACTTGGATCTGCCTTCTCATTAAAGCTAGAAAATCCCCTACCATTTAATGTCAAGATCGATGTGGCCTTAATAACAACTGTTGCTAGAGGAAGCTGTTGAAAAGTCCTGTGTAATTTGACTTGTTAGCATCCAGGCATTAGCGCTGGATGCCTCTCGTGCTCACACTTCATCCCTTCATTCATTGCAACCTTCCGTCTCCTGTGGACCTCTGGCCCTTCACTCCCCTTGCCAGCCTCTGAGCCAGCAGTTGTGTCTGATTTAAGGGGGCTTTAAAAAGTTCATGGAAAAAATGAAGTTGGAAAATAATGGACTTTTTTCCACGAACTTTTTGAAGCTCTCTCAAACAAAGGCTGCTTGTAATCTTTTCTTTCCCCCCCGCAAGGGTGGATTCCTCCTTGTAATGGCTCAATCGATGGATGGCTTTGTTAGCATCCCCAAAAGAGACTTCAGCTCCCCACTTTGCCACTAATCATCTGTGTGGCTCGACTCAGTTTCTCTGGATGGCAATGGAAAGAGGGGGCACTAGAAGCACTCTGGGATAGCGCTTAGTCTCTATCAGGTTAAAGTTCTTACCCAACACCAATAGTAATACATTAGATACTTAAATAAGTATAGGGTATGGTGTGTCATTTAGATGGTGATAAGTTGAGTGTGTGTAGACTTATACTTTTCTATGTACCCACCTGCCTACTTATCAGCATCTACTTATCTTGATGGTGAGGCACTGGGCTGCTTATCACAAGGTCAGAGGCACGAAACCGCCAGCTGCTCTGCAGGAGAGAGAAGAGGCTTCCTGCTCCCATGAAGAGTGACAGTCTCAGAGACCCACAGGGGCAGCTCTACCCTGGCCTATAGGGTCACTGTGAGTTGGAATCAACTCCGTGGCAGTGAGTGAAACCTACCTGCCTTCACGGGCAGACTGACACATGGTCTCTTTAGCTGAGTTCGTTATTGGCTTTATATCCTGAATATTCTCTTGGTGCTAAGTAACTAACCTAGCTAGTTTCAACCAAAGAGAGTTACATTGGAATCACCTAGCTTACTCAGATGTGGGTGAATGTCCTCTGTAGTCGAATGACAGCTTAAGGTCTGTGTTCTGTCAGACAAAGCTTTAGGGGAAAGCCTTGTAACTGTGTATACCAAAGACAAGAGAAGAAATAACATAAATGCATTCATTACCCCCCTTCTCACTTAGAGGCTACAAATTTCTGGTTGATGATGGGGACGTAGACTCTGTGATTATTGCTAAGATGAATTGGCTCCGAAAGTAACGACTCAGTAAAACATAGTAAGTAGCTGTCCACTCAACATAAAAGAACCCTGGTGGAGAGGCAGCTAAAGTTCTTAACTTCTAACCACAAGGTCAGCAGTTCCAACCCCCAGCCGCTTCAGTGGAGAAAGATGTGGCAGCATGCTTCTGGAAAGACCTTCAGCCTTGGAAAGGCTGTGAAGCAGTTCCACTCTGCCTTGCTGGGTTGCTCGGCGGCTCTGGGTCTGGCTGGGAACCATGAAGGGATCCACGAATGATCAGCCCTGGACATTGGTGTGTCCTTCCTGCTCGTGGTTCAGTGTTCCTCGTTTCTCATTTGTGCTCTGCTAGTAGCAGTAAAGACACTAGATTGCTCCCCAACATCTGTGCGTTAGCTCCAACCTCGTGCCGTCCTTGCCTATCTGATATCCACCGTGCCAAGGAAGGCCACCGCTTCTCTGCGTCCAAC